CTCTCTCTCTCTCTCTCTCTCTCTCTCTCTCTCTCTCTCTCTCTCTCTCTCTCTCTCTCTCTCTCTCTCTCTCTCTCTCTCTCTTGTGCACGCGCGTGCGGCAACAGGCAGCAGCGGCGGGCGGCACGTCGACATGGCCGCTTTGAAATTGCTCGGGCCTGTGTGAAACCCGCCACCCCAAAACCCTGCAGTGTCATGTGTCCGGACCTCTAGGCCCTGTCCGGTGGGGTGCAATGACACTGAAAAATCAACCCATTATTTTTCAAGGGGCGGCCAGGTCCCGAAAAACGTCCTGGGCCGCCCCTTTATTTTTTTGATTTTTTCCCTGAGGGCCTCCATCCGGACATAAGGATCGGACACCAGACCCGGACGTGTTGTTTCGGACTGTCTGGAATTTTTTTTTTTTTATTTTTTTTTTTAAGTTTTTTCAGAAATTTAAGTATCTCTATTAATATTATTTTTAGATTTTTTTTTAATCCTTTAGGTTACAAATACTGTTGACAATAAAATAAAATAAAATATAAATTAGAATAAAATAAATGGTCCCCATTTCAAGTTCAGAAACCAAACAAGGTGTCTAAGCCAGCTTTTTTTTTTCCTTTTTTTTTTTTTTGCATCTAAGAATGAAAGTTAAGGGTGTCAAGCCACCTTGGTAGGTCCTCACAAAGGGAGATTCTGACCGAGACATCCTCAGCTCCCCAACGAGTGCAAGCGCGTCTGCCCACCGACCCGCTTTTCCAAAACTGCTCACAAGAATAGACAGAGTATAATCGCTTGCAGCGATCCCCCACATTTCTCTCATCTCCTTCCACACCTGCGCACACTCCTGCCATTTTCCAACCTGCTCACACACTCTCATGACCTGCAAAATACAGTCACATGTAGCAGTAGCATAATATCAATATACATAAGCTCGAAGAAAGCATAGATAGATAGACGACAGTCGCATGCAGGGGTCTGAACGCCAGACATCCACAAGTGATTAACAGGGACCCCCCACTTTTCAGCCCCGGGATAACACCCCCAACACTGAAAACAGAGAAAAGTGCATTTGGGGACTTTTTTTTTAAGTTTTTTTTTTCTTTTTTTCTTTTTTTTTGCCCTCTTTTTTTTTTGGGCAAGGTCTGCGTATGCCAAGTTTGGTGTTTGTGGGGATCTTGGAGATAACTGTTTTGGCCAGCCCTGAAAATCCTAAAAAACTGAAAAGAGTGCTGGGACTGTGCCCTTACATTGGCCGCACATCGGCGGCCTCAGAGTGTCCAAGAGGGCCCCAGCAAGCAATGTGCCCTGATTATCGTCGGGGGGCCCAAATCTGCCAATTTTGCCGATTGCCTGTGGTTGAGCGCCAGACAGTTTACAAGTGCAAGCTGGTTACAGAGGCCCAGCTCGTGAGAATCAGATTCTTCAAAGAAGCGTCCAGTATCCTGGAAGCTTCGACAAGGAAGCAGGCCTCTAGGCCTATCAGAAAGCGGGGAGCACGGCACAGAGTGCGTGGGGTAGTTGGGCGCTTCTCAAAGCTGCGGGCCCAGAGCAGGCCTGGGTGAAGACACTTTGGGCCTACTGGAAGCTACTGGAAACTCGCCCAGTCAGGCCCAGGCCTTGACAAGCAGGGCTCACTTTCCATATAGGAAAGTGAGCACTCCAGCCCGAACACATTCTGGCTGGCAAGCAGATGCGCAGCCCTGCTGCCTTGCCTTGACAGCGTTGAGGACACTCGCTCCAGCCAGGGCGTGCACAGGCGCTGCTGCGGCAGCGGGCACTAGGCGGCCATAACCGGCTGCTGGGCGCAGAGGGGGTGCCGGCGATGGTGGTCTGCATGGGCGACGTCATCGTGTACATTGACCTTCAGCCTCGAAGTGAATCCTCTTGCATGTACGTAATGTAGGCTAGACTAGGCTGAGTAGAATAGGCTGGGCGCAGAAGACCGACATTGGATACTATGTTGATGTGGCGAGAGAGTGTCAACGTCGACATTTGAGTTCATTGTATTGCTCTTATTTGGCTGTATCTCGGTGCATTGTACATTCTGCTTGGTGTACGACTATCTTGGCTACTTCGTGATTTTGCAATTTGGATTTCTGTGTATCGCTCTCACTCATTTTCCTTGCAAGAGCAAATTTTGCAAGAAAACACACTTTTGCCTTGGGGTTTTATGCCCCTTTGATCCATTTTTTCACTTTCGTTTTTTGCCGTTGGACAGTGTTGGTTTATTTGGTGCGAACTCTATTGACTGGTGACAAGTCTGGCTTAAAAGGTGTGGGACGTTTGTTATAATGACCCTTAAAAAAACCTGCCCAGAAAATTTAGGGCTCTGTTAACATCTCCTCCTGACATCAGGAGCAACAATGGATCAAAATTTACAAATGGGCCCTCTTCATTTAATATTGACAGAACATGTATAAAATACAAAGAAAAACGAAAAGGTAACCAACTGCATGCAGTTCCTTGATTGCAGAGAGAGACGTGGCATGCACTTATCAGCTACAGAAAGAGCTGGCCCATCTGGGCGTAATCGCGGTCCGATACATCCAGGGCTAGCGGTAGTTCCCCTCTCAAAGAGGTTCGGATTGCCCTCTGAGAGAAGGCTGGCACGCCACGATGGCTCGGATTTCTTGGGGCCATACAAAATCAGGATTGGGAAAAACAGGCTGGAAACAACTGGTTGGTTTAAACCACCACATCCATTTTTCTCCAATGCGGTGTGCATGCGGTCGCAAGTTTCGGGGCTCAGCCTACCGGAGCAGAATGGCTGGCGCTGCCGGCCAGAAGAAGGCCCACGTCGGTTCTTTTTCCTTTGGCTCGCTCTGCATTTCGAGGCTCGGCAAGGGAAGGGTCAAAAGTACTAGGCAGTCTTACGGCCAAGGCTCCATTCTATTCTGGCAAGCGTTCAGTCCGCGGTTCATTTTCCACCACCAGGGAGTAAAAGATGTGAGAGACACCAACTCGCCTGGCTCAGATGGTACACCCATGAACTGCGGAAATGCTGACCTGAGTTTTTTTATCCAGATGGAACTAGAAAGGTTACTCGATGAATGAATGAAATCAAATAATGCTCAACCACCTGGGGACTGTTAGTTCGACAACAATATCTCAAGGCCGCCATACCTCAAAAATAACAACGACAACAACAACAACAACAACAACAACAACAACAACAACAACAACAACAACGAGGCACGCTCATACTTCCCCTCGCCACGGTGAGGAGAAGCTCAAGAAGATAGGGCACTGCTTACTCTGCAATGCACAAAATCGAAGAGGGCCAGGTCCCACTGGTGCCAGGTGGTCCCCCTGGTGCTCAGAACTGCAAGAATAAAATAATGTGGAGGGCTAACCAGCCTAACCCCCTTAAAAAAAAAAAAAAAAAAAAAAAAAAAAAGCAAAGGAAAAAAAAAGTACAGGCCATCCCCTTGAAAAAAAAAAACTAACAAGAGAGAGAGGACAGAAGGGAAGCTCACCAGGTTGCAAGTAATGGAACTGGGGACCACTCCATCTTCATTCATCATCTGCCATAGCTGTAAGGCCTTTCGCCATTCTCCCTTCCTCCCATATCCTCCAATGACTATATTATATGAAACAGTGTCTCTCTTGCATGCTGTCTTTGTCTGGCTGCCTGCAGAGCGATTCCGCAGACCTCCTTGTGTATGGCACTCGTGTGAAGGATTCTTCCTGCTTTGTACATGTCCGTGTGCAGGTACACCATCATTTTCCACCACACCACTGGAGCTATGACGAAACGATTTGCATTCGACGTGGCCAACAGCTTGTCCAGCATCAGTCCCATCAAGAGAAGCACAAACCGAAGACAGGACAGAAGAAGGGACCGAAGAAGGAACAGAATAGGGAACAGACGCAGAACTTGGAACACAGGAAGCAGCAGAAGAAGGAACAGAAACAGAAGAGGGAGCAAGAGGAAAAGAAACAGAAGAAGGAACAGAATAAGGATCAGAATCAGTAGAAGGAACAGAAGAAGGAACAGAAAAAGGAACAGACAAAGGAACAGACAAAGGAACAGAAAAAATAACAGAAGAAGAAACAGAAGAAGAAACAGAAGAAGAAACAGAAGAAGAAACAGGAAGAACAGGATGAGGAACAGAAACAGAAGAAGGAACAGCAGAAGCAACAGACGCAGAAGAGGAAACAGAAGAAGGAATAGAGGAAGGGATAGATGGATTAGCAGACGTAAAACGACGCTTCTCAAGCTCCTCATTTAATTGTGTCGAATCTGAGGAGGATGAAAGTTTCTGAAAGTCCTGTCTTGCGGCAGCAGCAGTAGCATGGACATTACCCGGAAGAGGATCTGCATGGCCTTCACGGATATGGCCCACAGTCTGCGGCACAGCAGAACTGATGCCCACACTCCTTGATCCAGACAAATGGGAAGCCGTCTTGCTGACTTGCACACGAGGGATCACCTCGTCTCGAACAGGAGCTTGGCCACACGTCTGCCCACGTGTGTCATTTGCTGCACCATCCACATTGAGTCGTAGGTCGAGTGTGAGTGGTGACTCGCTGGCTTTGTCAGCAACTACATTCATTCGCTGCGAGATTCTCGCAGATAAACCCTGCCGCTCCACGTAGAGCTTGCACATGTGTCCCTCCTCGTACGTCCCAGCTGTCCCGACACTAACCGTACTGCCAACCAAGGCACCACTTCCTCCTGAAAGAATACCCGGTGGCTTATGGAGAATTGCATTCTTCGGTTCCCCATGCTGAGGAGGAGCTGCCACATTATCCTTTCCTGCGATTTTGACCGGCGGCCTGGGTCCCATCTTCCGCAGCAGAGCTTCGGCCTCTCTCACTCTGTTCGCTCGGCAAAGGATGCCCAACATGACGTTGCATGTGAAGGTGGTTAAGGTGTTCCCGCTTTGTCGCAACCAATCGAACATTTCTTGGGCAAGGTCGAACTCTTTCGACTTTCCAAGCGCTGACAATACAGCTGTGTGACAGTAGTCATCCACGCCCAATAGAGGCCACCATTCTTCGCCATTGCTGTTGCCTGCCTTCACTCCCAGACCCTGGAAAGCATGATGTGAGATTCTCTGCTCACCAGTACTTGCTGCCCCCAATGCCTGCTCCATTTTCCGCTGTTTTCTCAGGTTTCCCTTCCCAACAAACAGAACCACCTCTACTGCTACCGCTCCAAGTTTGCGTTGACCAAGTTCCTGTTCAAAAGTCAACACCAGTATATCAGATTAGCGTTCGATGTTTCTCTTTTCTTTCCCTTTCTTTCTTTAAGAAAAAGGGTAGTTGCCACTAACGTCGTCACAGCATCGAACAGGATCTGAACTTTGCATCTCTTTATCGGCAGAGACATGCATGTAACCACCACCAATAAAAAGCTTTCTCTTATTCTTCAACACAGACAGTCCCTGTGAATATTTAGAGAGAGGGGTGACAGGATCACCAAGAAGAGGAAGAAGAGGAAGAAGAGGAGCACGAGGAAGAAGAGGAGGATGAGAGGAAGAAGAGAGGAAGAAGAGAGGAAGAAGAGAGGAAGAAGAGGTAAGAAGAGGGAAGAAGAGAGGAAGAAGAGGAAGAAGAGGAAGGAGAGGAAGGAGAGGAAGGAGAGGAAGGAGAGGAAGGAGAGGAAGAAGAGAGGAAGAAGGGAGGAAGAAGAGAGGAAAAGAGAGGAAGAAGAGAGGTAGACGAGAGGAAGAAGAGGAAGAAGAGGAAGAAGAGAGGAAGAGGAGAGGAAGAAGAGGAAGAAGATGAACAAGATGAAGAAGAGGAAGAAGGGGAAGACGAGGAAGAAGGGAAAGACGAGGAGGAAGAAGGGAGGCAGAGGAGGAGGAAGAAGAGAGGAGGAAGAGAAGAGAGGAGGAAGAAGAGGAAGAAGAGGAAGAAGAGGAAGAAGAGGAGAAGGCCAAAGACATGGGGGAGAAGAAAAATCAGACAATCGAAGGAAGTTAACTACAGTTTAAAAAAGTGGACGAATACAGACCACAGTCCAAGCGAACAGGTGTGAGTCCAAGAGGAGTTGCATGGAGGGGAGAGACAAGATGAGTCGAGAGAGGACAGAGGGAGTAGAACTAGGGATCCAACCAGAGAAAGAAAAGAACAGAGGACGAGTATATGGATGGAGAGACCAGTAAACACCTCGGAGACAAAGGTACTGTCTTCTTCCGAACAGAATCCCAGTCATTATTGCTGTACCTAGACTGAAAGCTGCCCCGAGTACAGCTATAATGACCAGATGTTCTATTCGGGTGAAGACGGTAGGGCATGGATCAACTCAATTTCTTGGATGAGAGAGTGCAAGGCTCCAGCAGAGATCAGCCAGGGCATATCCAAGTGCGTAGTTGTTCTTCTGACAATTTCCAAGAGTGAATTGAGAGGGGAGGCCTTCACTGATTTTGTGTCGTGACCAAAGTGCACTGACAGTCAATCCTCCCTAAGGAAATAATTAATGTTATCAGGGACCCCTGATAGCATTCATTAATTCCCTGACTAGGATAGAACCTCCACCCCATAACGTGAGGAAGCGTTGCGAGCGAGTACATTATGCATCTTTTCTGAGTTGCCCGTGGAATAGGAACCAGACTGATCGTAACTAAAAATGGATATGAAGACGGGGGGCATAACAAAGAAGAAGAAAAAGAGCCATGAGAACGCCACCAAAAGATGACAATCTGTCCTTTGGGACATCCGTTCAAATTGGAACGATACAGAGAAAGAGGATTAGCATGGCCGCTGTGCAAGGATGACACACATAAATCGAGAAACGGTCCAATTCCCGTCCAAATTAAAAAAAAACAAGCAGGTGCCGCCAGCGCAGCTTGCGCCCGCGAACACCATCAGGAAGCAACCCCAATAAAGAATCTCACTTCGCTCTTTCTGTCTCTGACTCTATGTTTTCTTTGTTAGTATATGGCTGGTGCTTTCTGTATCACTGTTTTAGCTCTTGGCGTCTTCTGTCCTTCTAAGTGTCTGTGGAAAGCAGACTGGTAAACAGCAATGGTCACAAACAGCAAGGTCATACACGGTCACAAACAGCAAGGTCATACACGGTCACAAACAGAATAGTAAACAGCAACGAATCTTCAACGATTCGAAGAACATTATCATCGTCTTCTGTTAAGAGACGACTCTTTTTTTTTTTCCTTTCTCATTTGTTTTTCCTGCTACACACACAGCGTCACAGCTCCCTGGAACATCGGGAGCTCGCACCAGTCTGACAGTACATGCGGAAAGGAGTTACCACACCCCCCCC